CTTAAATATTTTATAACATTTTAATACTTATATTAACTCGAATTTGATTATTAATTAACTTAATTTACATTTGATTATATTTTTCTTTTTAACTCTAATTTCTTTTAAACAATGATCGAAACTAATCTATGACCTATTCTTTAAATTTAAAGTTAGATTTTTTTATTTTTGCTCTATTTACTTTTCGATGAATTCTAAAGTATTTATATTTAAAAGTTATATAACTTTCATAATGCTTTAATCATCATTCCTTAACAAATCTTATCGTTACATTTGCAACAAATTAAATTTGATCTAAAATCTAAATTTATTCTAACTTCAACTTAGTTTCTAAAAAATTACTTATTTAATCAATCAAAATTTAAACAAAACAAAGACCCCTACAATTAACTACTGTTAAATGCCCACATTAGGTTTACCTTTTTTGGTATTAAAAAAAAACCAACCTTTCTCTAAACAAAAACTAAAAGCAAATCAAATGAAATCATTTAAAAAGTACACAATTAATTAGCAGACAAATTCTGTATGACAGACAAATAAAAAAAATCACACAATCACATATATTTTGGCCATAGAAAATGCATGACAGCAACTAAAAGTAAGAAAACAAACTCCACAAACTCCACAAACATTTAAACACGAACTGAAATTTTAAAAACTTCATACGAAAAAAAAAATCCAAAAGCTTGATTAAAAGAAATCGACAAAGATAAACAAAAAAAATTAACGTATAAGAAGTAACTAAGGGGAGTAGCAAAGAAGATTTATTTGATGTGATAGAATTGGAATCGAAATAATTTCTAAAATTCACCATAGAAATTGGTTTAACCTAAAGGCAAAAAAAGAAACATACTGAAACCAAAAAAAAAAAAAAAAAGAAACCAAATGACGTTTAAATCAACATTTTTAGTGGCATCAAAATAACCAAAAAAAAGCAAATCAGTAAAAGAAGCGGAAAGAAGACAAGAATCGAGAAAAAAAAAAAATACTATAAAATTGGGTCAAATAAGTCAAAAGCAGCAGACTCAGACAAACACACAGCTTCCATTAAATTGTAGCTTTTTTCTTCTTTATTTACTTTTTTAACATATTTTGTTACTTTTTTTGGAGTACAATGTACTAAAAGATTCTGATTAAAAATTTCGTCATCATCATGATCATCAGCTTTGTCGTCGTCATCATCATCTATGTATATACATCTGGACTATAAAAGAACATAAACTTTTGTATAGTTGTGGTAATAACCACTGAATTACGAGTGTATCTGTAAAAGTAAATCAAGTTTTTTTATGCCATTTAAATCTTTAAATAAGATAGGCAAAGTGGGACGTTTGAAAGGGGGAACTACTAGAGAAGAGTCTAAAAGTTAAACACTTTAAAAATCAATTGCGCATGCTTTCCAGCTTTAGAAAAAAGTTAAGCAACTTTTTTTTTTACTTTTTGACTTTTAGTTTAGAGCAGTAGAGCGACTAAATGTAGTGAATTAATGTTGAAATGTCACACCTTACTGAAGAATTGGAAAAAGGGGAAGTATAGCTTGGGGTTATGCGTGGAACTTTATCAGTTATTTTCTTAGTTTTCTAAAAGCTTTGAAAGTTACTAAGAATATTCTGTATATAGTATCCGAATTATTGCGATAAAGGTCAAAGGTCACAGGATGGTATAGAAATAACGAAATACAATTCGAAGGAATGGAAAACCATGTTCTTTGTAATACCGCGGTTTTCACAATTTCACTATTCACGAATTTCTTCTTGCCATAAATTTCGATCGACGAGATCGACGGCGGCATCAAACGACTATTAAACGCAAACGTTGACAGATTTGTAGACCAACATTTAATAAAATGTCTGTTTATTCCTATGTTTGAACATTGAGTCCAAAATATTTACTCCTCTCTGTGCTTGGGCGACAGAAATGTAATCCATGGCGTTCTCCATAAATTTTTGGTTTACAAATGGGAGCGAAGAAAAACTTGCCAACTAATACTTTCTAAATAGCCTTTAAATTAGAGAATATTATGCTTTCAAATCCGGATGTTATGAGCGTTTATTGGCGAATGCTCGCTTCAAACCATATATACATTAGTCTTCGATTTAGAGCCATAGATATTTGACTTTGCCGTTGATTCCAAATTTACATAAGCAGATCTCTTCAAGTTATTTTTCGATATATTTTTTAACGCAATTAATGATTCAAGGTTCTTCAGTTTCAATTCGTATGGCTCACAACTTCCCTGCATTTAGATGAATCTTACTGCTCGTAAAACTTTTAAAATTGCTGCATGAGTAGCTTTTAATGATTCTGTAAGCTAATGGTGAGCTTGATAACAATCTTCATGGAATAATCCCTTAATTTCTTGGTCTTCAAACTTCTATCCTTTCCTTCTTTCATAACTTAAACTTCAGAACTATTGTTTTAGGACGTCACATATGATATATTACTCTATGGGTCCATTTTTCAAGACAAGTTATGATTCAAGGTCTCTCAGCTTCAATACGGTATGCAATTTCCCTGCTTTTGGATGAATCCTGCTGCTCGTAAATGTTTTGAAATTCTTGCTTAAGTAGCTCGAATTATTTTACAAGTTCTTGTTGAGTTTGGCAACTACCTTCATGATGTAATGCCTCTAGTTCTTAATCTTCAAACCTTTTTGTTAAAGACACCACTTCTCTTGCACATTGAAACCGAAGGAAACTTCTCACCATAAGTTTGCCTTCATTTCCTTCTCTCCCCCCGGGGCATGTTTCCTTTATGAAAGACCACCATCTAGGTGTATTGCAATCCTCCTCAGACTTTCCTTGGAATGATTTGACATGGGGTCGAATCAGGGAACCACATAATCTGGTACTAGGGGTGGCCAGTCTGTCCTCTGTAAGAAAGAACAAAGTCTCGGCTTTTTTGATGGATTAGTACTTGGGTCTACCGGTTACGTCTCTAGGTACTGTTGCCGACTCAACAGAGGCCATCCCATCTGCGTGGTTGTAAACGGAGGTGGTGTTTTTGCATGTCGGAAGTTAAGCAACGGGGCAGCAATGGTCTGAGATTAGATAGCTCAAATACTTGAGCAAAGTGCACGTGTATTGAAGCGGAAATTCCACCCGCGTAAAAGAAACACAATGGGTCGGTGGTGAATCGCCACAAAAGCTCACCCAGTGGTTGAAAAAGACCACCGTATGCCAACACAGCAGGTGTTCACGTAAACTAACCGACTTCATCCTTCCCTTCTTTGAAAACTTGAACTAAAAAACTATTGTTTTCGAACATCACGTACGATCTCTTACTCTTCTAGTCATGTAATGACTCCTGCTTTTGGATGAATCTTGCTGCTTGTAAACGTTTTGAAATTGCTGCATAAATAACTCACAATAACTTTACAAGCTCTTGTTAGTTAGTTAGTTAGTTAGTTAGTTAGTTTAGTAGTTAGTTAGTTTAGTGTAGTTAGTTAGTTAGTTAGTAGTTAGTTAGTTAGTTAGTTAGTTAGTTAGTTAGTTCGTTAGGTTAGTTAGTTAGTTAGTTATTAGTTAGGTTAAGTTGTAGTTAGTTAGTTGTTAGTTAGTTAGCTTATGTTAGTTAGTTATTTAGTTAGTTAGTTAGTTAGTTAGTTAGTTAGTTAGTTAGTTAGTTAGTAGTTTAGTTAGTTAGTTAGTTATTAGTTAGTTTAGTTAGTTAGTTAGTTTAAAGGTTAGGATGATATTCATCAAATTCGTTCGAATATTCCTAGGCATTTTCGTTTTGTTCCCCCCCTTCGGTTTGTTGTTGTTCGTTCATTCCGTTTCGTTCGTTCGTTCTTAGGTTGGTTTGAATCGAACCACCTCTCGGCCTGTTGTGCGTCTACAGATGAAACCAAGAGAAAACATTCGCCACCACAAGTTAGCCTTCCTTCCCTTCTTCCCAAACCTTCCCCTTCCCCCCCTCTTTTGCTCTCTCCTTTCTGTTCTGTTCTCTTTTCTTTCGTTAATCTTGATCATTTTTTTGCCAAATTACGTAGAATGTACTTTTAAAGTTTGTTTGTATGATTTTTTTTTTAGTTTTTTACTTAAAATTTCTTATGGTCTCATAAAAGATCTCATAAAAATGTAAGTTTTATTATGGCATTGACTTTGGCTAGTTGCTGTTATATGTTTTTTTTTATTTTGAATGTGCCAAAAATATAAATCTACGTTAAGTTTTTATTTTTTTGGAACTAAGCAGCCATGTTAAAGGGCAATTACCACGAGTGTTGGCATTTTTTTTATGACTGAAGGCATTCAATATTGTGTGTATTGAACAATTTATAGGAAAAATTAATTATTTATAGCATTGTGAGTAAATGCACAATGAATAGTTTTTATATGTAATATAAGTGACACTTAAGTATTTATGGAATTTTTTGGTTAGTTGAAGCTTCAAAGAAGGAGGAGAATGATAAATATTTACTATAGGTTTGGTTTAAACTATAAAACAAATTCTTGCTAAAAAGGTCAAAGGTTAGTAAAGAGATCGATGAAGAGTTGTTTGGATATAGTTATGATTTAAAAAATAATTTCTTGTTTTTAAAATCAAATTTATTATAAAACTATTTATGATTAATGTAAAATTAAAATATGTATATTCAAGAAATTCAATATATTTTTTCTAAATACTTGTTTAAATACCTAAATAACAATTAAAAAACTACAATTTAAATTAAGCTAATGCATAAATTAAATTCAAGTTATTCAAGTAGCAGCAATAAATAATATTTTAAAACTATTTATTACTATAATATTTATAGCTTTAATTATGATAATTACCACAACAAGAGTCAATGATAAATAAATTTAAAAAATTACTTTAACAAAACAACAAAGGTCATTAAACACCAAGTACAAAATAACAAATAAAAAAAACACAATCTCTTTAAATATTATTTATCTTTTTTAAACTGTGCATTTTTTTGTTAAACAATTCTTTTGAAAACTTTATTATATAATCCACTTGTCTTTTTTTTTTTTTTGTTTCTTTCCACTTGCAGTATTATCAACCCGCATGAAACAGTTGGCCTATTCATTGAAAGATTTTAATTTTGAATGCATTGGCACCGCACAGACAGACGATGAGCTGGTCATTTGTGAGAGTTTAAAACATTTTGGTGATATAATTAGTATGATAGAAGATGAAAGAGAGAAAATGGTGAGTAGATTTTAAAAAGAATGGAGGAAATATTTTCTAAAGTTTCTCGATAAAGAACGAAACCTGTATTGAAAAGATTTTATATTAAAAAGTTCAGTTTTATTAAATTCTTTTGGTTCACGGTCTTCATTCGATATCAAGTAACTTACAAAATTCAAAATAACCATGATATTATATTGACATCTCCTAATTGACAATTTTTTTAACAATATATAATGTTGACAAATAGCTTCTGCTTAATGTAGAACTAGTTTGACAACATTATTTTATTTTAGGAAGAAATATTAGTTACGAGAGTGTCAATATGTTATTTTTAAAAATTTCTTAATATATTTATTAATTTTTAGTTAACCTTAGCCGATGAACATATCATAGAACCTTTAGAAGATTTTCGCAAGAAACAAATTGGTGGCGTTAAGGAGAATAAGAAAAAATTCGACAAAAAAACGGAAAAATTTTGTCAATCACAAGAACGTTTCCTAAATATGTCGACAAAAAAGCCAGAAAACACAATACAAGAGGTAAGTGTGAAATTTCAAAATGTTTAACGGTAATTAAAATATAATCGGTCTAAACGGGTTACGAGTTCTAACGATCTCACACTTTATCTAAATTAGGGATTATAACAAAATTTTAGCTTTAGTTTAATATAAATTTATTCAAAGTATTGACCATTGCTAGTCCTTTGAGCTTTTCCCATTAATTTTGGCAACATATGGAATCCGTGCCAAAAGAAATGCTTACATTTTGAGGTCTAGAACGAATCAAGCAAATTTCGTTTACCCTATTCTGAAGTGAAGCGTATGTCAGAGAGACCGTTCTGCATCGATCGAACTATAAGATGGATAAGGCAAAACTTCCCAACTACTTCTTTCCAAATAATTTCTAACATCCGAGCGTTTTCATGATGGAATATTAATCTTTCATTTGACTCCATATTCTAGGCGTTTTTCGTCCAGCGATTCCTTCAGACCTATCAGTTGCATTCCGCACACTTTCCCTGTAATAGTCTGGACAGGATTAGAAACTCATACTATAGGACCCTTTTGTTCCCACCACATCCAGAGTCATGGGTGTTTGGCTTTAGTGCCGAATAGGCTGCTTGGCCGAACTTCACGATCTCTTAGGCTTCGTGTTATCGTAATGGATTCAGTGCAAGTTATAGCGTCATTTCGGACTTCCAAAGTTTGTCGGCTTCAATTCATACGATACCCAATTTCTTTACTTTTGGATTAATCCTGCTGCTCACAAAGGTTTTGAAATTGATGCTGGAATAGTTTCAAATGAGTTTGCAAGTTCTTTTTGAGTTTGATAACAATCTATATGAATTAAAGCCTCCAATTATTGGATTTTAAAAGTTTCGCATGGGCGATCTTTGTCTTCTGTTTCAAGATCACCATTTCTGAATAGCATAAAACATCTCTCACACATTGAAACCTATAGAAAACATTCACCAAAAGCTTCGGAGAGCAATCAATATGTTTCAGCAGCACTTTTATTTCAAATTAAAAAAATAAAGTAGTGAAACTTAAATTTTAATGGTATTTTTAATAAATTTTCCTTCAAATATCAATAAATGTAATTCTCTATATCTTTGATTTGTCAAAATTCCCTTTGCAATTTCCTCCATTTCATTTTCCACCAATTTTATTATAAAGAAATCTAAAACTTTTTCTTTGAAATTGAACCAATATTAAATAAAACTCAAATTGCAAATAAATGCAAGATTAATAAGTAGCAAAAAAAAAAAAAAAAAAAAAAAAAAAACTGCTAAAAGTAGCAAGAAAAGATGAAAGAAAAAACTCGGAAAGAAAAAGACCTATAAAATTCAATAACAGTTAAGTGCAACTGGCAACAGCAGCTTTTAAGTTTTTCCTACATCCTTTAGCTGCCAATATTTAATATAATTTTAGTTTTGCAAAATGAAATTTTATATATTAATGCTTCCTAAAAATCCATACCCTACTCCTAGGCTTTACATTCTTATACAATTTGAGTTCCTTGACCTAAGTTAACATTTCAAAAACAATTTCATTCCAGTCTATATACTCTCTTTTATTTATTCTGTTTTTTGCTCTCTCTCTCTCTCGTAGAAATATACATAAATATATATGAAACACTATTTTTGTACAATAGAAACTTTAAATTGCATGAAAAACTAACTAGTTGCAGCAAAAAAAAAAAAAAAATAAATAAAGGAAAAAAACGCCCTGCCACCAGCTTTACAGTACAAGTACTTCTTCTACTCTAAAAACAGCTATAACAAAAACTATATTTTGTATAAAAGCTTTTGTTGTTTGAAAATTCAACTACATATAATATTTGTATACAGCAACAGCAATAACAACAACGAAAACGGAATACCGCCAAAGGATAAACATCCTTCCTTCTTGCATTTTTCATTCTCACTCTCTCCCAAACTCCCACAATACTATTTACGCTTTAGTAGAACAGCAAAAACGCAGCAGCAGCATTGTGAGTGGGAGTATTTAGTAAATAAATGCATTTAAAAAAAACTTTATTTACTATTGTATATAATTCGCATTTTCCTGCTGTGTGTGTGTGTGAGTGCATTTTGCCACAAATGTAGTTTATATTTGTATAAATACATAAAAAAAGCTTTTTTGCATTGCCCTCACTAACACCCTCTATATTTTGTAGCCTCCCTTTAAAAGCTTCAAGTTCCTTTTTGATCTAACCATGGAAATTATTTCTGCCTTCGCCTGATATGTTTTATTTACTATAAAATGTATAGTAGCGTTAGTATATGTACTCCTGTTCCTACTCCTTCTCTACTGTAGTGTTATAGTTTTCCACTTCCTCTTTTGTTTAGAACTATTATTTAGGAGTGAAGTGTAAAAGGACTTATTCGCTTTTTGTTTTAAATTACGCATAATGCTCTTCAATCCATGTCAGAAATAACATCTCTTCTTCCCAGCTCTGGGCTAGTTCGAAACGAAGAAGTAATTTATCCACTTTTGAGGAATCTTTTACAAAGGTTCAAGATCAGTTGTCTCGAAGATTCATACATAAATATATCGATGACGGTAAAAGATATTAAGGCATCAGATATGAACTTCGCCAACATTTTGAGATCAGAATACTAAAGACTGAGAGATTGTTGAGATTTTGCCTTTAATTGGAGTTAACCGCCTATCGAAAAAGTCATAAATTTCCCAAATATCTTCCAAAATTTTGTCTATGCTAAAGGATTGTAGAGGGAAACGCGCTAGGCTTGTATTTGGGCTTCAGGCATCTATGTACTTAGCCTCGGTTCTCAATTAACGAAAAATCCATCATTTCCCAATTATTTTATTAAAATACAACAAATCAATACCTTCCTTGAAGGTCTGTTCAACAAGGTTCTTCAAAATTCAGCCATTTTTGTCTCCTATTCTTTTTGAGGTTTTAAAAAGTCTACTAATAGTTCGAATTAAGTACCTTTGGAAAATATCGCAAAAATAAGTATGAATTCGAGGATCTTTACGATCGGTACAATTTAAAATTTCTTCAAGTCTTCTTGATCGATCCTGATGCTCTCTATATCGCATTTATCAATATATAGCGTTTTAGAATAAGAAAGGTCCGATTTGGATCAACATAATCAAAACATCTTCCCAATTATATTCATTCACTGGTCCTTCTCAGCGCAATTTTTAGATAATCTTGAGAAATTGTTATAATGTGATAACTGCTCTTATTTAAGTCTACGAAATAGTCTTAAAGAAAGAAGTCTGAAGTTATCAAATTAGACGAAGAATGAAGAACCTTTCATTTTCTCAAGTATATGTTCATTGCTTCAAGTTATCCGTCCCCTAGATCCAAATCATATACATTTTTAGAGTTTTGGAATAAGAAAGTAATTTGGAGTAAATTATTCTTCCTACAGTGAGTCTGATTGCAATGACTTTTTTAGATCAAAATCTGGTAATTCACCCATGACTAACGATTTCAAGTAGAGATAACTAGGCTGGAAACTCAGTTCTTCGGGATGAAGATATTTGAGCTTTACTAATTGTTTAACGTTTGATCAAGTTTCACTGACAAATTTGTGCCATTGTATCATGACTTTTGACTCCAGTCTGAGATGAAAATCAGACTTGTCACCCAAGAATACGATTCCAACTAAAGATAACTGGTGCGCAAAGACACTTCTGCCGAATGATGAAAAGTTAGACCTTTCTAATGGTCGGAAAATTGAGTTAGCTCCGTGAGTTTCTCTGTATTACAGGCATCTACACAGAAAGCCTTGCCTTTTAACTCTAGCGCAACATGATCAATACATCTTCCCAAATGTATTCATGTTCTGATCCATTTTAGAAAGTCATACATATAGTTGACATAAATTCCAAACGCATGGACGATACTTTGCTAAAATGAAATTGCTCTGACTACCCTTAGAAGTGAAAGGAACGATTATTCCCTCTTTGTTAAACGTACAATCGGAGTTCATTGGCTCTCATATAATTGCACGATCGCAAATATCTCAATTACACCCATACCAAATTAGGACGATCAGAAATAAATGTTAAGGTTATCACAGAGATTGAATTCGATGGCTTTTGAGTTGTTAAAATGTAAAATATTCAGAACTTTTCATAAAAAGTTTAGCTTGTAATAAAAAGTTCATCATAAATACCATTTAGTACCTTCTTCCCACATCATCTCTTAAGGTATTTATAATATCTATGTACCACCACGAGAGATAGTATAAAACTTTAATAGTTGTTGTGAATTTATATTGAAATGCTGCAAATGTTTGCACAAAATAGATTACAGACAAAACTCTTCGAATGGCTTGTCTTTCCGTCTTTCCCTTCGTCTGTTCAACTGTCTGTTACAAATATGGCAAATATGTTCAACTTTTAGTCTAGATATTTTTATTGTATGTCTTATGCTTCGTCTGTCTGTCTGCTGCTTCATTCATTTTTAATACACTTGAATAAGGGCAAATATTGCACTTGTAATGTTTGTATGTCTGTATAATTTTTCTTGTTTTTTTTTTTTGCGCTCTCATAAATGAAAACTTATCACAGATTTTTTAATAGATTCAGAAAATAGTTTGTATCCTTTAGCCCTTATCCTTGCATAATAACTATTAGATAGTTGTAGGTTTTTGCAACATTTTATGACCATCATTTGTATGTTTTATAAAATGGTTAGCATATTTATTTCGTTAAGGTTTAACACATAATTTGGCTAAGGGTTTTTAGAGAGAAAAATTTAATTTTAAATTGAAAATCCTGATTTGTTTATAAATATTTCTGACTGAACTGTTTTTACAGGGAAACCCCTTGATCATCTGCCCACGAATGATTTCATCAAACACTTACTGACACATGGTTGGAACAATTCAATTGGTTGTACAAGCAGCACTTAATCAATTTATTGTTTATACACTCGCACTGGAGAACTACTATTTCGATTACAATGGCACAGATTCTGTTTTTATTGTTTCCACTAAACGAAGTAGAAAAAAAAAATACCAGATTAATTTAGTCGATTGAATTGTACAATTATT